TCAGTGATATAAATTTTCTTTGGGTACAAGAAAACTTCCTTTCCTCTTATTCCTTACCTCATCCCCACATCCAGTAGTTATTTTTGGTGGTTTTGAGTAACCATATATTAATTATCTAATCCAAGCTCTCTTATGAAATAATCTTTAATTTCACATGTATTGGGTTGGATAAAAAGTTCATTTGGGTTCTTACATAAAATGTTCATGGATTAATTGAAATATAAACAAGTCTAGTGGCTTCCCTGGTGATCCAGTGGCTAAGACTTTGCACTCCCAAAGCAGGGGGCCCAGGTCAGGAAACTGGATTCTGCGTGCTGCAACTAACACCCGGCACAGCCTAATTAATTAATTAAAAAAATAAAGAGGCAGTCTAGCATGGTGGCCAGTCTTTCACAGATTTAAATCTTCGCTCTTCTATTGACCAGTCATACAATATTAGCCCAGTTATTTCATCTCTTCGAACCTCAGTTTTTGCATCTCTAAAATAGGATCAAGTACCTTACCACAGGCACTTATGGTTAAATTAAATATTACCATATTGAATATTGAGAGTTTTCATTAATTTGCCCAAAATGTGATTTTTTAAATGGTAGACATCTTTTCAAATTGTGGCAAATTGACATAAAACATTATATAAATTTCAGGTGTACAACATAATGATTCAGTACTTGTATATATTGTGAAATGATCAGCAGTTAAGTCTAGTTGGCATCCATTGCCATACATTCTTATAAAAAATTTTTTCTTGTGATGAGAACTTTTAAAATATACTCTCAAAATAAAAAAATAAAATATACTCTCTTAGCAACTTTCAACTATGTATTCCAAAGTGTTTATCGCAGCTTTTATGTGCAAGGAACTGTGCTGATGCCACAAATATAATGGATAAAATAGGCTTGGTCCCGGTTCTCATGGATTTTACAATCTAACATGAGAGGCAGTCAGCAGCCAGAAAGAAAAAACACAAACATGTAATTACAAACTGTGAAAGGTTCTACACAGGAAAATACTGGGAGCTGTAAGAATTTACAAAACTGGTCCTGAACTAGTTCACAGAAAGCTTTCTTGAGAAATAATACCTGACATTTATTGAATACTCACCATATGCCAGTGTACTTGCTAGAGCTACCGTAATGAAGAACCATAGGCTGCATGGCATGAACAGCAGAAATTTATTTTCTCACAGTTTTCGAAGCTAGAAGTCTGAGATCAAGGTATCAGCAGGGCTGATTTCTTCTGAGGCCTTTCCCCTTGGCTTATGGATAATCATCTCTCCTTGTGTCTTCTCTCTGAACTTGTGTCCATATTTCCTCTTATGAGGGCAACCATCATATTGGATCAGGGTCCACTCTAATGACCTCATTTTAACTTAGTTATGTCTTTAAAGATTTATCTGCAGGGATTTCCTTGGTTCAGTGGTTAGGATTCCACACTTCCACTGCAGGGGATACAAGTTGGATCCCTCATTAGAGAACTACGATCCTACAAGCTGTGTGGAGTGGCTAAAGGAAAAAAAATCGTTTTAAGGACCCTATCTAAGGGCTTCCCTGGTGGCTCAGTGGTGAAGAACCTGCTTGCCAAAGCAGGAGACATGGGTTCGATCCCTGATCCAGGAAGATCTCACATGCCGCAGAGCAACTAAGCCCATCAGGCGTGCAGAGAGTCGGTCATGACTGAAATGACTTAGCACACTCAAGTCAACTTAAACTTTATTCCAACTAGAATAGCCTGTTTTGTGACCTATTAAACCTATACTGTACATCTGCTCTAACCAGTCAAGAAAAGGGTACATTGTCCAGAAGCAAAGAATGTCTGTTTTGAAGATAGAGATAAATGCTCCTTTCCTGGGACATCAGTGCTGGTGCTCCTTTAATGATAAGGCTCCCTTCCCAGGCGCCAGAGCCAGGCCGACTTGCTGTATACGTGCTCATCTGCCTTCTTTGAAACTTTGAAGGAATGTGCCCTGTGATGGTTCATGTTCATTGTCCTGACACGATGTAAAACTATGCTAAAAGCCATGTTTCTTTGGAACAGTTCCTCAGAACTACCACGGAGACTGTCCTTGGCTATCAACCTCAGTTTGACTCAAATAAAATTCTTTTCTATTCCCATTATTAAGTTCAGTTCAGTTGCTCAGTCGTGTCCAACTCTTTGCAACCCCATGGACTGCAGCATGCCAGGTCTCCCTGGCCATCACCAACTCCCGGAGCTTGCACAAACTGATGTCCATCGAGCCGATGATGCCATCCAACCATTTCATCCTCTGTCGTCCCCTTCTCCTTCTGCCTTCAATCTTCCCCAGCATCAGGGTCTTTTCCAGTGAGTCAGTTCTTCGCATTAGGTGGGCAAAGTATTGGAGTTTCAGCCTCAGCATCAGTCCTTCCAATGAATATTCAGGACTGATTTCCTTTAGGATGGACTGGTTGGATCTCTTTGCTGTCCAAGGGACTCTCAAGAGTCTCCTCATTCCCATTATAGATTGTTGTTTATTTCTGTCAACAACAATGACATTTTTGGGGGCAGGGGCACACAACATATCCCGTAACAGCCAGGTACTAATCTACAGTCCTTACGTGAATTATTTTACAGCAATCCTATCATTGCTACTTTACTATCATAGATTAAACTGAGGTACAGAGAGAGGTTAAGCACTTGCCTCATACAATACCTAGGAATCAACAAAACTGGCCCTTGAACCCTGATATGCATTACCATCAGCTTATTGAGTGTTGAACGAGTTGGAGTTGGCCCAGCAAATGTTAGAGGTCACATACCAGGCAGATGGGATTGCAGGGAAGGGGCCTGGAATAGAAGAGAGCTTGGTTCTTCTAACAAAATGAAAGAATCTATCTGATGACGTTAAAGATGAGGGTGCAGGTAAATCATAGCAGTCCTTTCAAGCCATGATAGGACTAAGATTTTGTTCTTTATCATAAGAACAATGGGAAACCACTGAAGGATGACTCTGCCTACTGAATAGAGAACCACTTGGAGAAAATTTTAAAATCTGTGTTTTAATTTTTAATGGATGAGGAATCTGACATGTTAGTTTTTTCAATATATTGATATTACACTCAAGCTTCCCTATAAGCCACAATCCCATGAGGCTGAAATACTTGTAGAGTTAGCCTTCTGTAAGTGAACTACTTAAAACAGATTGATATGTATTTGAAAGGAAATATGATGAAGGTCAGTATAGTTAAAGGTATGGTTTTTCCAGTAGTCATGTAGAGATGTGAGAGTTGGACCATAAAGAAGGCTGAGCACTGAAGAATTGATTCGTGGTACTGGAGACGACTCGAGAGTCCCTTGGACTGCAAGATCAAACCAGTCAATCCAAAAGGAAATCAGCCATGAACAGTCATTGGAAGGACTGATGGTGAAGTTGCAATACTTTGGCGACCTGATGCAAAGAGCCAACTCAGTGGAAAAGACCCTGATGCTGGGAAAGATTGAGAGCATGAGGAAAAATGGGCAGGGCAGGGGGGACAGAGGATGAGATGGTTGGATGGCATCAGCAACTCGATGGACATGAGTTTGAGCAAGCTCTGGGAGATGGTGAAGGACAAGGAAGTCTGCTGCGCTGCAGTCCATGGGGGTCACAAAGAGTTAGACACGACTTATCGACTGAACAAGATGGCATAGGCTACCGTGGGCTATGCTGGACTCCCAGATGGAGTAAAAACGTTGCGAACTACAGTTCTGCCATTGGACAAAGATTTAATCTCCTTCTGTTGTTTGGGCAAACTTAAACAGGGAAATGTAATCAGGGCCACACCTCAGTCTTAAAACTTAGATTGGAAGAGGAAGATAGAGACGCTTTGCCTAATACTTTCAAGCAGCTTTATTGAGATGATTTTTTAAAAGATTTATTTATGGCTATTCTGAGTCTTCATTGCTGCCCACCGGCTTTCAATAGTTGCAGTGAGCAGGGGCTACTCTTCCTTGCAGGTGCGCAGGTTTCTCATTGCTTGTTGCGGAACACAGTTTATAGAGCACAGGCTCAGTTGCTCAGTGGCATGTGGGATCTTCCTAGACCAGGGATCCAACCCCTGTCCCCTGCATTGGCAGTCATACTTTTAACGAATATACCACCACCAGACAAGCCCCTATTGAGATTATTTACACTGTCAAACTGACTTGTTTTCAGAGTACGATGATTAGTAAAAATACAGCCCAGCCATCGGTATAACCAGTTTTGGAGCAATTTCATCGCACCGGATGATCCCTACGGCTTGGCTGCGGTGAATTCCCGCCTATTCTTAACCACAGCCAGTCTGTCTGATTAGTGTACTTTACACTAATTAGAAATGACCTTACAGACCCCAAATAACCCTTAAGAGGAAGCCAGGACTGGACTCCCAACAAATGTGGAATTGGGGCATATATGTACATTTTGATCAGTGCACCAAATATATCCAGGCTGGGTCTGTGAGAAATTTCTCCATTCAGCCACTACACAAAGCACAGCTGCCTGCCCTACGTGGGGCTTATTATCGAAAATGAAGTAAAAGCAGTAAGCGGATGCCTCTGTACATCACACGCGTGCATCTGTGTAGGAGGTGAGCACACACCCTATGCCGGGATGCGAAGAGTCTAGCCTTCCCAGGACAGGGGACCAGTCGGTGTTGTTCGCATCTGCGCAGCCTGGCGAGCGCCTACAAACGCCTAACTGTAACCCCCTGCTCGAGACCTGTCGGTTCTGCTGTTGAGGTACCGCCTTCTCGGACCTGAGCGTCCAACCGTAACACTCAGAGAACCCGTAGATAACGCCTCACCCTCTAGCTCTCGCACCCGAGAGCGCACACGGAGCACGGAAACAGGCCTTGGGTCAACGCCTCCAGCGAAGCGGCTCTTTCCCTTGGCCACGCCCCCCAGTTTACAGATCGAGTCTCCTTGGTCCGGGAAGGGCTTAATCCCGCCCCTTCGAGCCGACGCCAGCAGCCACGTACCACGTTTCTACGTGTCTCGAGCCTGAAAGCGGAAGTTACGCCAAAGACTCGCGAGGGAAGCGGCGGGCCTGAAAGGATACTGGCCTCTGGAGGAAAGTGGGCGGGCAGACGGCATTGGAAAGCGCCGGAAGTGGTCGTGCAGAGGAGGGGTGGGAGAGAGGCTGGCCAGACAGATCATTAGGCTGTTGCTGGTCGCCTCGGTAAGGCGCGCTTTCCCTCCTCTCCGAGAGGCTGGCCCAGTCCTCCTCCTCGACCAGAATGGACTTTAGGGAAATTCTCCTGATAGCTTCCAAAGCGCAGGGTGTCAACAACGTGCCGGTAAGTACCAGCCGGGGGGTGACTTCAGGAGATCCTGGTCTTCAAGTTCCGAGTGTGTGGTCCTCGAAACTTCCAGGAATCAGCACATCGGCTCCAGGAGAAGAAAGATCTGGACTCCGTTTTTTTTTTTTTTTTTCTTTTTCCTTTTGGACATGTACTTCTGGGTACTGGGGGTTGAAGTTACTGGGGGCTTGAGATAAGCAAGCGGGAGCGTGCTGACAAGCTGATTTGGTTTGTTTCGGCTTAGTTACCCCTACAACTTGAACTTTGAGTTTAGGGTATTTTAGAGTTGCGTGAAAGCTGGTGAGTAGAGCCGTGCCTGGCACGTAGTGGAGTCTAATGCTCGTAGTTTCTAGTTTCGGCATAAACTTCAACCCAGAGCTTGGGGAGTTCAGGAATATTAGGGGCTTGGCCTGATAGTTTTTGAGCTGATTTTCCGCTGATCTTTGAGTCAAACGTTTTGTGATTTCCCGAACAAGATTTTTTGACTTGTGTCCCCCACCCACTCAGCCAGCCAGGTGATTGAATTATCACCTCCCTAGGAAGGGAGTGTGAGTGGATTCCACGAAATTTTGGCCAACAGGATGAGAGAAATAGTTTCAGCTTCCGTTTACTTGTGGTCTTCCAGATTTGTTGTTTGATATCTAGGTCCCAGTTACTCTGTGAGGTTTGCTAATTCGCTGAGCGGTGTAAAACTTTACTCTCTAAATGCGGTAGTGGTGGTGAGGGCCTCGTTTGCGAGGGTGTAGCTGTTTTGCATAAACTAATCATTTCGAGATCCTCAGATGGTACCACAGCCCCAGCTGTAAACCGATAAATTGCATTGTGATACCTGCGGTTTGAGCGTTGAGGTGTGGAGCTCAAACGGCGCTCTTTTTAAGTCAGTTCAACTAGATCATTTTGAGCTCTCATGATGTGTTCTGCGTTTCTTAGATTTTTGTATATTTGCAATATTTTTTCCCTCTCCTGTGCTCATTCTTTTACTCTTTTGAAGATATTGATGTAAAAATAACTGATTAATAAAACCGATATTGATCAGTTTATTATATGTATTCACATCCCATCTGAAATACTCTGAACGATCTTGAAGTTATGAAACCTTATTTTCTGTCTCTGTAAATTTCCTAGACAAGTCAATATTGGACCTAGTAGCATTCATCTTTGCATAATTAGGTACATATTTCTTTCTACATCCTCCTCAATTTCAGTGGAGGTCAAAGAAGGATAATACTTGCTCTGATGCCCAGGACTATCCTGTGGAAGAATCAAAACCAAGTTAGTTGTTTCTTATCCTAAAAACCAAAGATTGCTGACAGAGAAGTACATATTTCTAGAGTGGGAGATTTCAAAATATGTCTGTATTTCAGAATATATACATTATTGATCTACGATTGGAATAACAAAGATTGGAAGCAAAAAGGAAAATAGGTAAATTGGTGAGGTCATTTAAAATTTAATAGATGAATATAGGCATATACTTCGTGAAAGTATGTTTTTCCCTCCCACTCACCCCAAAAGCTAGTAAGCCTGAAGGTTTCATTTAGTTATCAGCACTATAATCTTATCTTTTTACTTCAGATGAAAGTAAAACACAAAAATTATTGAGGAATAGAGCAAGATTGTATTAAATTTCATCTATGATCTTTAACTCAAGTCATCTGATTATTTTAAGTTGAAACCTTTTAGCTCACACTATGAGTTCTGAAATCTAACGTATTGCACAGTGTGAGAGTACTACAAAGCAAGTATCCTTATAAACCAACATCCAAGTCAAACAGCATTACAATATACACACAACATACACACACCCCCCACACACAGACACACACCCCCACACACCCCACACATGCATACACACCACACACACACACACACACACACACACACACACACACACACACCAATGCTTCATAAATATTGAGTTATCCATCCTTCTCTAGGGCTTGGTTTGTATTTCTCTTTTAGCCATCTTTGTCCCCACCTTCCATTTGGATCCTATCATAGCTGACTTTCAATTTAAGTCACGTTCCTTTGTCACAGCTTTGTTAACAGAAAGGAAATACACTGGCATTGATTAGACTAAAATCCAAGGGAAGCTAAAATCTGAAACACCTGTACAGCCACTTTGAACTCTTTATTTTAAAAAATGTCTACTATATCTGATTTGAAAAGCAGTGAACTGTTCCCATTTGGGACAGCTTTCTTTCATATTGTTTCTTTTTAAGAGAAATAGTTATCTGTAAAAGATTTTGGTTAAAACAAAAGGAGTATTGCATCATTCCTAGAAATACCAAGCATGCTGTCTTTTCCCAGTGGAAAACTGAATACAAAAAAACCCACAGCTGATCAAGGTGATGTAACCAGTCACTGTTATTAGCTCTGTTTATATATAAAGGAGAAAAGATATTTTTGGTAACTTTACCCTTAATATTTTTCTCACTGAGTTCCTCTAGCAAAAGCGGGTTTCAGGTAACTATAATTGATGTCTTGTGGTGCACAAGGCAAGATACATGGTTTTTCTCACAGTCAGACTAAAAACTGTCCCAGGCAAGATACTGTAACTGTGATGTGACCCTCAAATCAAAAAGTAAAGAGGAAACCTTCATACGTATTAGACATAAGGATTTGGGGGGCTATGGACCCTTGAGGTGAACAGTAAAATGAGTCAGTTTTCCATATACACATGTCCACTCTTTTTTAGATTCTTTTCCCATATAGGTAATTACAGAGTGCTGAGTACCGTTCACTCTGCTATACGTGCATGCTTAGTCACTCAGTCATGTTCCACTTTCTTCAACCCCATGGACTGTAGCCTTCCAGGCTCCTCTTTTCATGAGGTTCTCCAGACAGAAATACTGGAGTGGGTTGCCATTCCCTTCTCCAGGGGATCTTCCTGATCTATAGATTGAAGCTGGGTCTCCTGCATTGCAGGTGAATTCTGTAAAATCTGAGCCTCCAGGAAAGCCTGTGCAATACAGTAGGTCCTTATTATCAATTTTATGTGTAGTAGTGTATGTATTTCAGCCCCAATCATCCAGTTTATCCCTCCTCCCTATTTCCTCTGGTAACCATCAATCTGTTTTCTACATCTGTGACTATTTCTGTTTTGTAAATAAGTTCATTTGTACCATTTTTTTAGATTCCACATTTATCATATATTCGTCTTTCTCTGTCTTGACTTCACTCAGTATGATAATCTCTAGGTCCATCCATGTTGCTGCAAGTGGCATTATTTCATTCTTTCTATGGCTAAGTAATATTCCATTGTATCCATTCCTCCTTTATCCACTTCTCTGTCAGTGGATACTTAGGTTGCTTCCATATATCTTGGCTGTTGTAAACAGTGCTGCAGTGAACATTGGGTGCATGTATTTTTTTTTTTTTTTTTGCGTGTTATCTTTTGAATAATGGTTTTCTCTGGATATATGCCCAGGAGTGGGATTGCTGGATCATATGGTAGGTAGTTCTATATTTAGTTTTTTAAGGAACCTCCATACTGTTCTTTATAATGATTTTACCAGTTTACTTTCTTCTCAGCAGTATAGCAGGGTTCCCCTTTTTCCATACCCTCTCCAATATTTATTGTTTATAGATTTTTTGATTATGGCCACTCTGACTGCTATGAGGTGATACCTGACTGTAGTTTTGATTTGCATTTCTCTAATAATTAGTGCTGTTGAGCATCTTTTCATCTGCTTTTTGTTCATCTGTAATATTACCACATGGAGATTCTGTTCTCTTTACCATCACTACCTAGGCAATCTCTTTATGAATAGTAAGGATAATAACAACAGCAATTAGCATATATAGTGCTTACTTTGTGCCAGGCACTGTTCTAAGCACTTTCTGTATATTAATTAATTTAATCATCATAATAACCATATAAGGAAGGTTGTTTTACAGATAAGGGAACTGAAGTTCAGGGAGACGAAGAAATGTTTCCAAAGTCACACAGATGATAAGTGGCAGGGCTAGTAATGGCAGAGCAGAGAATCTAGTCCAGGCAAAGTGGCTCCAGAGTTCGTTCTTAATCATGACCCTGTGTTGAATGAGGAGCTGCTGCTGCTGCTAAGTCGCGTCAGTCGTGTCCGACTCTGCGACCCCATAGACGGCAGCCCGCCAGGCTCCCCCGTCCCTGGGAGTCTCCAGGCAAGAACACTGGAGTGGGTTGCCATTTCCTTCTCCAGTGCAGGAAAGTGAAAAGTGAAAGTGAAGACATGTCCAGTCGTGTCCAGCTCTTAGCAACCCCATGGACTGCAGCCTGCCAGGCTCCTCCGTCCATGGGATTGTCCAGGAAAGAGTACTGGCGTGGGATGCCATTGCCTTCTCTGTGAATGAGGAGAGGCTTTTGGAAATGGGGTGCTGAGGAAGGTTGTCATCTATAAAGCCTGAATCCATCTAGTTCCCTACCCCCAACTCCAACCTAATAGAGCCTTAGGCAGTAACCCTGTTGTTTTTTTGATGACATTTCTCACTGTACAGTAAAGTCTGATGGGGGAGAAATCTAAAGGCTAAACCAACAGCATTTGAAAACTGGTGAATAGAGATTTACAGGCTGTTTGGGAGAGTGCCAGCATGGTTAACAGAAATAGAGTCTGAGGTTGGGGGAAGGTTCGGTGATGGACTTGTTTGGCGCAATGGCATTGTCTAGGAAGCAGGTGGAAGTTAAGAAGGGCATTTAAGAATGAGGTTAGAGCTAGAGATGAAAGTGTTGGGATTAAGTTAGAAGTGAGGCACACTGTAATGGGAAAACTTTAGACCCAGAGTCAAGAGATCTAGATTCTAATTCAGTCTTTGCTACAAATGGTATGAGTGATAGCCAGTAAATATACAGTTGTCCTTTTTGGGCCATTTCTAACATGAGGTTGAACTAGAGACTCTGAGGTATCTATCTGATACTGTACTTTATAATCAGGTATAGTTTTATAAACAGTAAGATTTATATTTGACCTCTTATCAGTCTTGAATAGCATGTTTTTTGGTAGTTTTATTTTCACTCTCAGCCACCCAGCTAAGCAAGCCTAATGCATATCAGTGGTTTTCCAGGCTTGCATTCATTGCTTGACTATGATGTATTGAGAGGATTATAGAAGTTGCATAGTCAGTCATTAAAGTTAAGGATATATCCTTTGAATATTTCTAACTCTGATTTCTAACCAGTGATAAATCTCTAATTTATATAAAATCATCAGAATATTTATTTTCTACAGTTACAACAATATATTATCTCCTGAGTAAAGAACTTTCAAGAAGGAATTGCTGTTGATTCCTATGTATTAATAACATATTTGGTGAATATGTATTTCCACACTGAAAGCTCCTGATTTTCTTAATCTGACTGTGACAGTATGGTTTCAGTGCAAGGAACACATATGTTTAAAGTGACTTAATGTTTTCTAGGTCTCTTGGCTTCAGAATTACAAATCTTGGCAAAATCTCTGATACTGTATTTAGATGGCATAAGCTTCTCTGTTGTGGATCATTCACTGGGGCCCAGCAGAATGACTGAGTTGGCCTGCAGGGTAATAAAATGGATACACTTAGGATAAAAGAAACTCTTGTCCAGCTGCTTTTCATGAAGCTCAAACAATGAAGCAGCCTGGTGCCTTGAATCAGATTCAGAATTGATGGGTACATCTTGATGTGTTGCCGCTAGAGCTAAATGTGACCATCTGATGTGAGAGAAAGTGCCAAATAGTTCTCCTGCCTTATTAAATGGCATACAGTGTAATCCCAGCCTGAAGCTTTCTTTTAAAAACGTGGTTCTCTGCTGGGTGCCCCCTGAGGGGGAAAGGAACTGTCTAATAAAATGTTCTATTACAGCAAATCTTCTAATACCAGGGTCTGACTGCAACCCCTTTTTCAAAAGTCTAGCCAGTTCAATGTTAAGAAGGTCTATAGTGATAGACCCAAGAGAAAGGAAAGCATTCATTCACAGAAAACTTTGTATACTTATGTTCACAGAGCATTATTCATAATAGCCAAAAAGTAGAAACAGTCTACATATCCATTAACTGATGGTTAGATAAATGTGGTATAATCCATATAATGAAACATTCATCCAGAAAAGGTGTGAAGTACTGACATGTTACAGCATGAACCTTTAAAACATTAAGTGAAAGTGGTAAGATATTAGTACAGAAGACCACTGCAGCAGTTAGGGTTCCCCAGAAAGACAGAACCAGTAGGATCTGTTTTAGGAAATTGGCTCACATAATTGTGGGGACTGGCCTGTCTGAAATTTGTAGGACAGGCTGGAAACTCAGGCTGGAGTTAATACTGTAGTCTGTCAGGAATGGGATGTGAATAAGGTTTGCCATCTATAAAACCTGAATCCATCTCTCTACTCTAGCCCAATAAAGCCTTGGGCAGTAACTCTATTGGTTTTTTGATGACACTTCTCAGTGTCCAGTAAAGTCTGATGGGATAGAGTTTCTCATAGAAATTCCAGAGCAGATGGAGAAAAAAAAGTTTTTTGAATTGGAAAATCTTAGCTACTTTGAATAATCGCTTATCTATATAGTATCTGTGTCTTCTCGATTTTATTTTATGATGCATTATCAATCACTGTGTGTGTACACTGGGTGCATGGTTTCATTTATATGAAATGTCAGAATTGGCAAATCCACAGAAGCAGAAAGGTTAGTGGCTGCCAGGGCCATAAGTGAGGGGAATGGGGAATGACTGCTGGAGGGTAAGGGATTTCTTTTGGGGAAGATGAAAATGCTCTGGAAATAGTGTGATGGTTGTACAACTCTGGGAATATACTATTACACACTAAATGGGTGGATTTTATGGTTTGTGAATTATATCTCATTAAAAATGTTTTTAAAAAGATCACTATCTCTGGAGGCCTAGCCCCCCTTTTTGTTCCTGCCCCAAATTTCTACGTTTTGATCTAAATTTTGCCTAAGAGAATATTTTAATATTCTTCTGGTATCTGCCTTTGAGTGCATCAAGCTACAGAGGATATAAGAAACTATTAATTATGACTCAGCTCTAGTCAGTAAATAAGATCAGGCCTCATCAAGTAGGACCTTGTCCTACTTAAATTGTTTCCCAGCAGACCCACAAAATAAGACATTTTATGGATTTGTTGAATTCATTCTCCATCATAGGGATGGGACAAGGACAGCAAAATTGTTGAGTTAAACGTGAGGCCGGCTCAGTAAGTATCCTTAAGGATTGGAGATCTTTTTTTAAACAAAGCTGAATTTGAAATCGGCATGTGAATTGATGAAAAATAGGTGTATGCTTTGAAAAGTGCTCAGTGTAGCCTTTTCGATTCTTTTCTGAGTGAGTCGAGTTCCCGAGCCCTCCCTTGTTTCTTGTGTTCCGCCTTCCCTGTGCTTATGCCCCTCAGTTGGTGTTTCCCGGAGCGCAGCACACGTAGCTCTGGCTCTCCTCATGACTTTAGGTGCTTTATAAATGCTTTTTATTCACATAGATGCATATTTTTAAAATTATATATTTGTATAGAATTTGGGAAAATGTAACTAGCCTTTCAGGCCTGTCATTTCATGAGTATTATTGCTTGAGGTAAAGGTGCAATAATAAGTCATGGTGTTAAGCTACGTATTTTCTTAAATTTAGTAAATAGTATTACAGTTGGCATACTAAAAGGGCAAAAATCGTGACAGTGGTATGGGAGTGACTGAAGCTTACTAAACATGGTATTAAACTATATCCCATTGACACTATTTTTCTCTTTTGGTGTCTGTATTTAGTCAAGAATACATAACCCATTAGCTACCTATTTAAGTGCCAGGTTAGAAGGGAAGATATCGACCCTGAAATCAAATTAGGAAGTTCTCACTTGCTGTTGTAATACCTAGATAACAAACTGATCCTATTTTAAATAATAAAGATTGGTATTTTGGGGCAGGGGAGCCCTGTATTAAGCTTTGATTTGGCAGGTGAATCTGGGCTATATAGTTGGCAGGGAGAGAAATATTTGTAGCTTTGGCAGCACAAATGCACCCTTCTCATATATTTACCTGATGGGAGTGTGTGCCTCTGCTTACGAGTTTATGTGTCTTATACAACTTGAGTCATCTTCACAGTAGCCGTTCTGTTAAGAACATGTGTATTTCCTATGGATAAGACCTATGTTTGAGGTTCTTGTAACCACGACAGATTTTATGTCTATATAATTAGGTAAGCAGTATTCTCTTTCTCCTATCTTCCTTTCCCTCTCTGTTTTCTCCTTTAAACATTGGGCCCCAATCCACTATGGAAAGGGCCTGCAACTACATTTACAAAGATAGGGACTTGTTAAAGAATTTCACTGTGGCAGCCAGGTTGACTGGGAAAGGAATCTGGATGCTCTGTTGGGATTTCTCTGTGAGGGACGTGTCAGGTCTCAAGCATTGCCATCATGCAGGATTTTCAGGTTGGATTAGGGCCAGCTTTCTTGGCCAGCTGCTTCATGGGTAGACTAACTTAGCTGGAACTTCCAGCCTGTTTCAAGATGCCTTCTGTTTGGCAGCTGTATAGTAAGCAGGAGTCCTTTGGCTTTCCTCCAGGAATTTCATACACATTTTGAGAGTCACTTTTTTGGTTCCTTAGTAGCTCAGTTTGTTCTCATAGGTTAACGTTTCTTTTTAAACTAGTACAGCAACAAGGTTGAGTGGATAAAAATGTCATCATGTCATCTGCCTAAGATGAAAGAAGGGCATTAAAAAATTCTTATTTCCTAGCCTGTAAGTTTAACGTGAAATGGTCCTAGAGATTAATCATCCTGGTCTGAGTTATTAGCTCTGTTTAATTACACTTCTCTAATGATAGTTATAAAATGAAAATATTTTTCCTTTTATGGTTTAAATTAGCGTTATTCTAGTTTTAGTCATTTCCTAGTGCAATTGCATAAAAATCAAAGACCAGAGAAATACCATCCGTTCCAGGATGATGTTAGTACTTTTTGGGTGATCTGGAAACTTGTCTGAAAGGATTTGTGTGGTGAATTAATATTTAATGAACATAGAGCTACACTTAAAGGTTACAGAGACTAGGACCCTTCTTGCTGCTTTGGTTTCTTTGAAATGCCTTTTAACTATGGTTTGCTATCTACTTTGCCTGAGACCAAAGTAGGATCTCGGGATTTAACGTTGTAGACAAAATAACCAACGTAGCAGCTATGAAAACCACCTGGAGTTGGGTACTCAGGAGGAAAATAGTTGTGATAGTATTTTCTGCCATGGACTTGGAAAGTTCTGAAGAAGGATACTCTTTTAAATCAGAATTCTAGAACAGTCTGTTTTAGTGGTGATTTTTTTTCAATTCCCCCAGTCCAGGTACCTTTTTGGGAAAATAACTTGAAAATTGTGTTTCTATGAGTTGTTCATTTATGTATTGTTGGAGATGTTTAAAGAAACTCTATACCTGGAAACAGGCATATATAATCATTTTTAGCCTGAAATTTCATAGCTGAGCTTTCATGGGGGTTATGTGGTCTCTTAATTATTCAGAATAGGTTTTTTAATTCAACACTTAGACCTCTCTATTGTTTCAAAATTAATTGTGTGTAACTTCTACTCTGTTTTTGTTTTCAGAAAAGATACAGTTTGGCAGTGGGACCTCCCAAAAAAGACCCAAAAGTTAAGGGTGTCCAGTCAGCAGCTGTCCAGGCTTTTCTCAGAAGGAAAGAAGAGGAGCTCAGACGAAAAGGTATGACTCTATAGCCTTATTCTCAGTTTTAAAGTCTTCTGTCTTCACAACTGGCTTGTAACTAACCAAGGGATGCTTGTAGTATCGTTAAGAGGCTAATGGATTTGTTGTGTATGTGTCTGAGTCAGCTGTATTTGTAGCATTACGTGTTTTCTTCTGTTGGTCATTTGTATAGATATTATCTTTTATTTCCTCTTAAATTAAAACCTTTTTGGGAATAGTGACCGTATCTTCTAATTGATGATTTGAGCAACTCCAGTAAGAATTCCATTCTTTTACCTTGGTGGTTTTTTTGGTACTTGTAATTGAGGTGTCATTGATTGACAGTGTTGTATCAATCTCTGCAGTACAGCAAAGTGACTCAGTTATACACATACAGACATTTAAAACATTCTTTCCCATGACGGTTGTTTTTTGTCTGTTTATTTTTGTGAGGTTTTTCCTTTCTTTTTTTTTTTTTTTTTTGCCTGTACTGTACAGCCTGTGGGATCTTAGTTTCCCAACCAGGAATTAAACCTGGGACCCCAGCAGTCAAAGTGCTGAGTCCTAACCACCGGACCACAGGAAACACCCTCTTAACCTTAGTTTTGAACCTGTTTTTACCTACTTTGTATTTTAATTTTTAAAAATACACAGAGTACTATCTAAAAGGTTAAAATAGGGATTGAAAACCAGTAAACTCAAGCAGTAGTTTTGCTTCATGCAAATGACAAGGAAACTGATTTGGTAAGTTTGAGTATCCATTGATTCATAATTAATAACAACTACTAAGTGGGTACTAATATTCTCTGAACTTGGTATATTTATTTAGTATGAACTATTTTCTGTATTTAAAGCTAAAAGCGAAGACTCTCCCTTGCTTAGTCATATAGAAAAACCCATACGTGACCCACTCATTGTGTATAGATGACTCACTGATACTTGTTTGAATGACTTCCTCATTTGATTCTTAGAAGTTTTCAAATTTCTACAAACCGTAACTTGAATGTTGCTTGGTTTCGGCCACCTACTGATTTCAGATAAACATAGTTTTATCAAGACCTTGAAATAATGTGTTGTTTTGTCTTTTTCAGCCTTAGAAGAGAAGAGGAGAAAAGAAGAACTAGTGAAAAAGCGAATTGAGCTGAAACATGACAAGAAGGCAAGAGCTATGGCCAAGAGGACAAAGGATAATTTCCACGGTTACAATGGGATTCCTGTTGAGGAAAAGTCAAAGAAGAGGCAGGCAATGCAAAGTCACACTCGCCAGGGAGCAGACCAAGAGTACGAGGTAGAAGAAGAGGATGAGTTCTTAGAATACAATCAAGCAGAGTCAGAGCAGGAGTACGAGGAAGAGCAGGAACCTCCCAAAGTTGAAAGCAAACCAAAGGTCCCCCTCAAAAGTGCCCCACCAGTCATGAACTTCAGTGATCTGCTCAGGCTGGCTGAGAAAAAGCAGTACGAGCCGGTGGAGATAAAGGTAGTGAAGAAGACAGAAGAGCGGCCCTTGACTGCAGAAGAACTCAGGGAGCGGGAATTCCTTGAACGAAAGCGGAAGAAAAGGACACCTGAGACAGATGCAAGGCTACCGCCAACCAGAAGAGTACCCTCTCAGAAAGAAAGTGTGGGCACAAAGCTTAGCAGAGGCTCTGGAGACATGCATCCTGCTTCCAAGGGTACTGTCCTTCCTCATCCTGAGAAGAGACCCAGACCCAGCACAGCTGATGAAAAGCGCTTGCATTTGTCTTCGTCCAAATCCGTGCCGGGGGAGAGGACCAAAGTAGCCCCTGGCAGTTGCTCCCAACCCTCGCTTCATGAGGGCCGTGATAGACCTGTTTTCAATGGGGCTGGAAAGCCCCACCCCAGCACCTATTCACCAAGTGTCCCAAAGACTTCTGCTAAAGGGCCTCAGAAATCTGCCCCCGAGCACAAAGCCAAAAAATCTCCTCCCCATCCTAGCCATTCCAGGCCTGGACCCATGGCCACCCCACACAATAAGGCCAAGAGTCCGGGTGTCCGGCCGCCAGGCAGCAGCTCCAGCCCAGCCCCTGGGCGGCCTAGCACAGGGCCTGCCCGGCCCATGGTTAGTCCTGGCCCCGTGCCCAAGCGGCAGAATGGCAGCTCCAACTCAGGACCCGAGCGATCAGTCAGTGGGAATAGGAAGCCAGCCAGTGACTTTAGTCCCCCAAGACGGACAGTCAGTGGTACAAGTGGCCTTGGTCGACCTGCAAGCAGCTCAGGGGGCCCTGGGCGGCCTGTCAGTGGCTCCGGTGGTTCTGGGCGACCTGTGGGCAGCTCTGGGGGCCCTGGGCGGCCTGTAAGCAGTCCACATGAACTTCGACGACCAGTGAGTGGCTCAGGCCCCCCTGGGCGATTGGTCAGTGGCCCTGGCCGGTCGGTCAGTGGCCCAGCTCCAGCTGGACGACCTGTCAGCAGTTCAGGCCCTGGTAGACCAGGGAGCAGCTTGGGACCTGGGCGAACAGTTAATACCTCAGGTCCCCCTCTGAAGCCCAAATGCACTGTTGTCTCAGAAACAATTTCTTCCAAGAATATAATCAGCCGGCCCAGCAATGGACAGATGAATGGAATGAAGCCATCCTTAGCTGGCTACAGATCTGCCCATGGTAAGATTTCCCCTTATCCTGAAAGTATTTATTTGTCACTAGGAAATTGGAAAGAATGCATTGTTTTATAGAACCAGATGCTGGGAACTCTTCTATGTGCTTTTAAGTGTATTCTTGTGTTGATGGAATCCTGATGTTTTGTCTGTCCTGTGCCAGAGAGTTCCTTTAGTAACTATGGCTTGGAAAAGTCTTTAGGAAGAGATTTATCCGGGGCCCTGTTTGTCTACCTCTGTAATGTCTCCTAGTGCAATAAGCTTAGCTATGGAATTTATACGATAGGAGAAGTATATATATTGTATATGCCTTTTGTGGTTCAGTGAATGAATTCATCTTTACCTCTTCATGAAGACTGTAAGTGCCTATCTTCAGGGACTAGAGTGTATTTATAAGCTTGAAGCCTCTTGGTACATAACTGATTCCATCAAATATTGTTGGGCACCCATGATGTGCCAGGAATGATTTCAGACTGTCCTTGTGTTTCTGCTCCTCATAGTGGCCCTAGCTACCAGTCCTTTAGGAATCTACTATTCCAAGGTATGGGATCATTGTTGGCACCTATTAACTCTTCATCGTTAATGATGAGTTATCATTTCTCATCATTTCTACATGGTAGTCATCGTTTCTACATGGTAGTAAGGATTTGTTGAAGCACCTGTTAGACACCATGGAGAATATAAAAAGAAACAAAAGATGATATTCCATGTGTTAAACTTTCTGCTTTCGTCAAAACATTGGTTCTCAACCAAGGACAGTTTTGATCCCCGGTGAACATTTGGCAACATCTGGAGACATTTTTGATTGACATAAGTGGGGATGGGATGCTATTGCCATCTAGTAGATGAAGGCCATGGATGCTGTTACCTTTCATTGTACGGGACAGCTTCACAACCAACAAACAGCTGGCCCAAAATGTCAGAGTGCTGAAGTTAAGGAACTCTGAGCTAAGGAGACAAGCCATGCATATAAAAAACAACTGTGGAACAACGAGTGTCTATAATCAAGGACTAGAAAGCATTTGTTCCCAGATACTAGTCTATTGATCAGTGCTTGTCTTTTGCAAAATTTTTAATCAGTCTTTTGGCAAAATGACAAAAATATGTTGGTATGGTGAGTTTTTCCTATTAGTCAGACTTGCTCAGTTCGAACAATGATCCATTTCTGAGAATCTTTCATACTTCACTGGACTTTTAAAAACCCTAATGGAATTATGATAATAAATAGTAGACTGTTACCTTTGGTGTCTTTTTTTGGCAAGATTAAAATTTGTGTTCCTTCATTGATTTGTAACTTTTTTTTTTCTTTTTAAGAAATTTTACTAGTCTTTTAAATCCAAAAGAATAGAAACTATTAAGCTAGAAAAAATGTAACAGTTCTGGTAAGCCTTGGGACAGACAGAAATTCTATTCCTTGTTGAGTACCATGAAGCAGCAGAGAGGATTGTAGTAGTGAGCTCACACTGGGGGCCAGCTTGCTGGCTCTGGGTTTTGAGGCTGCCATCCTAGTGAGTTCTTAGTATCTCAGCTTGCATAGGATTTTGTTGGGACTATTAAATTTTAATACTCTTTAAAATAATGGCCTTTCTATTCTTAGGTCCTCAAAGGCTTCCCTTTCCTAGTGGTTACAAAAGGCAGCGAGAATATGAAGAGGAGGAAGATGATGATGAAGAATATGACTCTGAAATGGAAGACTTTATTGAAGATGAAGGAGAACCTCAGGAAGAAATATCCAAGCACATTCGAGAAATCTTTGGCTATGACCGAAAAAAGTAAGCATAAAGAAGATTTATACACACACACACACACACACTTTTATTTTGAATAATCCATTCTATGGGGGGAAAAATAAACATTAATAGTAGAGGCATTGAATGCAGTTCTTAATTAGGAATTCTTCAATTGTTTAGATTTACTTTTTTGGCACTTAGTATTTAAGAATTAATGCAAAATTATGTAGTTACTTGTATAAGGGCCAATAAGTATCCCTATTTAACTGTTGTCCTTATAAGATGTATATTTGATAAGAGTGTAGCTTGGTGTAGTAGAAATGGATTGGCTTTGAAATCAGAAAACCATCCACAGAACCGTGTTGAAAGCCTGATCTGACACCTGGTTTTCTTTGGTGTAAAAGCTACACAGAAGTGTGCCTGAACAGCACCATGGAACCAACAGCATTGATATCACTTGGGAACTTGTTAGAAATGCAGGCTTGCAGACCCTAGCTTAGATCTAAATCCAGTCTAGCTTTATAACATTCCCCAGTGGTTCACGGCAACCTTGAAGATTGAGAAGCACAGATGGAGCAGAAAAATCGGGGTTTAGATTAAAGTTCCACAGCTTACTAGCTGGGTAAACTTGAGTTAGTTATTTTTTAAATGACTTATGGGAGGACTCAATGAGGTAACATACAGTTGACCCGCACCAGTGTGAGGGCTGGGGGAAATCCACGTGTAACTTGGAGTCAGCCCTCAGTATAAATGATTCCTCTATATACAGGTTCCTCCCTCTTTGCGGTTCCATGGGAACAGAGGCAGCCAGTTATGGACTGTGTCCTATTGTAGCACGAAAAAGAAATCTTTGTGTAAGAGGACCCGTGTAGTTCACACCCATGTTGTTCGAGGGCTCTTGCTTTCTCCTTTGATATCACAGATATACAATGCAGCAGACTGAGTTTGGTCCCTGGGTTGGGAAGATCCCCTGGAGTAGGAAATAGCCACCCACTCCAGTATTCTTGCCTGGGAAGTCCCATGGACAGAGGAGCCTGGTGGACTATAGTCCACGGGGTCTCAGAGTTGGACATGACTGAGTCACTGAGCACAACAGTAAAAAAAGGTCTTTAAAAAAATTCAGTAGAAGAACTGGATTAAAAATCAGATTTAAAAACCTGATCTTAGTTACGGCATAAGATAGCAATATGTTTTTGGTCAAGCCGTTATCCTGTCTGTTTCAGTCTCTGTTCTGAATCCATGAAGCTCAAATGATATTAATTGTGCTTTTGTGATTTTAATATATAAACTTTCATGTAAATAGAGGTGAGTGGGTTGAGCAAACATTATTGGATTGGTACTTTCATTTGATTCAGGAATAGTTGCCTTCTGGAAGTATTAAAGGGCTCATATAATTTACTTCAGAAACTCCCTTTTACCCAACCTCTGCCCACCCCACTCCCTGCAAACAAGGAGGAATAATCCTAAATGTATGTTTGATTTAGTTACAAAAATGCTGGTTTTAAAAACAAGAAGATGCAAGTTCTTTTAGAAAATTGGTTTTTTTAATTTTTTCCTAACAACTTCAATTTTTTCTTACCAGATACAAAGATGAAAGCGATTATGCCTTACGTTACATGGAGAGTAGTTGGAAGGAGCAGCAGAAAGAAGAAGCGAAGAGGTACGTAAGCACAAGCTATACCCGTGTGGAAATTCCTGAAAAAGTTTCTGTTCTCTGCTTCAGGTGCATCCTTGGGAGCCGGGGCTTTGGGCCACTCAGCTTAAATTCCAATCCTGCTTACTTGCTGTGGGCTTCAGACAAATTAGCCTTCTAAATCTGTTTTCCCATTTGTAAACTGGGAATGTACATGATTCAGATCATGTGTGCATGTTGCGCATGGAACACCTCACCCGTGTAGGCACACAGTAAATGCTAGAGAGCTCCCCAGATCCCGCTATTGCATGTTTTTATTTTTCTTTTCCCATTCTTAATTCCCTGTCCACATGAGATACATCTCAGTCTTGCTGACCTGTACTGCCACTGAACTCAAAGACCTGATGAGGGACATTATATTCCTGATGTTGGATTCCTGTTTGGCTATCAAACAAATAATCATTTCTTGTGTAGGGGTAACAAGTGATTACTTAGTTTATAGTGTTAACTTGGTGAAATAATTCACCTCATTCTCAACCCAAATATTAAACCTCTCTTTCCCTCTTGCCTTCTGTCCTCTAACTAGATAAAATAGCAAACTAGAGTATTGGGAAGAGACAAGAATAGAATCTTATTTATTGCATAAATGTTTCTTGTTCTTTATTTTTTAAAGCTGATGAGATCATTTATATTTATTAGTGTAATGGGAATATTCAGATGTTTTCTGTTGAGTTGTATGTAAGATCTTTTTTCTTTATTTTTGTTTGAGTCTTTTTAAATTTTTTAAAATTTTTTTTTCATTTATTTATATTAGTTGGAGGCTAGTTACTTTACAATATTGTAGTGGTTTTTGCCATACATTAGTATGAATCAGCCATGGATTTACATGTGTTCCCCATCCTGAACCCCCCTCCCACCTCCCTCCCCATCCCATCCCTTTGGGTCATCCTAGTGCACCAGCCCTGAACACTTGTCTCATGCATCAAACCTGGACTGGCAATCTATTTCACAATTGATAATATACATGTTTCAATGCTATTCTCTGAGATCATCCCACCCTCGCCTTCTCCCACAGAGTCCTCAAGTCTGTTCTTTACATTTCTCTTTTGCTGTCTCGCATATAGGGTCATTGTTATCATCTTTCTAAATTCCATATATATGCATTAGTATACTGTATTGATGTTTTTCTTTCTGGTTTACTTCACTCTCTATAATGGGCTCCAGTTTCATCCACCTCATTAGAACTGATTCAAATGTATTCTTTATAATGGCTGAGTAATAGGTCTTTTTTCCACTATAACTTGAGGCAGTGGCTCCTAGTAAAAAAATATTCCTGCTTAGTCTTGTTTTCACTGGTAAAGCCTTGAGGCCTTTTTAGTGCATCAGTGCATTCCATGTAAGCTCCCAGTTGAAATTTCAGTCTTGCTTTTTAAAGAATGTGATAATTTCATGTATATTGACAAATACCTGCTTTTTTTCCTGACAGCTTAAGATTAGGTATGCAAGAAGATTTAGAGGAAATGAGACGTGAAGAAGAAGAAATGAGACGTCGAAAGGCCAAGAAGCTGAAGAAGCGTTAGCTGCTGCTTTTATTTTTGTGAACTTCTGAAGACTGCTGCAAGGAAGTCCTGCCTTCAGACTGAAGAAGCCCCTTATCATTTTAGAATTCTAGTTGGGTACTCAAGGAGAAGGAATGCATACTATCATCTATCTGCAGGCTGTCGTTAGAGCATAAAGTATTTTCACATACTTTGCAGGGTGAAATCGTAATGCAGATGACGTAACGCCCAGTGAGTGCTCTTACGAAGCTAACTATTCACAGGAGCCAGCCTTGATCCTCATGAGCTATGCACTCTCATGTGGGGCCGCTCACAATTCAGCCAATCTTGTATTCCTTTGCTACTCTAAAAAGGAAAAGAAAGGATTGCTCCTTTACTTCCATAATTCTGATGCGTGAGTATAGCGCTGCCTGGCTCCCAATCAAATATGTCTTTTGATGAGGAACCTAGCCCTTCCAGGAATGCTGCCAGCAATAAAGTGACCAGTCCTAATCTCTATGTTTGGATTGAGAACTTGAAAATGTAGAGTAGGTGTTACAATTATATGGATGTCATTTCTGTGACTTTGAAGTAAAAAGTAGAATAAATTGTATTCTGCATTATTCATGGATTGGATGCTGAGCATTCTTATTCACTAAGTTAGGTGATTAGGCAATTAACAGAATTTTCCAAGTTAAAATACAAGTTATGCCATTTTTGTTTAAGAATATTCTCTTCCAGATTTTACTTTCAGATTTACTTTTTTGTTGGTGTAAAATAGACAAGGTCACTGTGCTGTTTGATTTTTATCTAAAAGTTTCATTTTTATATTGAAGAAAAAACACTTATTTTATTCAAACATTAGATTTGGAAGAGTAATAGTTTCAAACGTAAGGAAGTGACATGTGAGGCTCCCCTCCGCCTCATTCCACTCCGCATTGTAAGGATATTTGGAATTCAAGGTGCCCTTTACCTTTTTGTGTCGATAACTATATTTTTATCTTAAATTCTTTAGCGATTAATGGTAAAAAACCAAAAACTAAATTCATGTGTATCAAGGCCACCACTTTCTCTTTTTGCCCATATTGCACTTTTATTTCAAACTATGCACTGTGAAGAGATTTTTTCCCAGGTAGGAGAGGATGTTCCCTGTTACCGTGCTTACTAGGCTGTGGAATGTCTTCATTCTTACCTTTCTTCAAGTCATATCAGTAGACTTGTTATCTCTCTTAAGCTCAAGTCCAAGCAATTCCAATCAGGCTGACCTAGGTTCCAGCTGGAGAGAAGCCAAGTCTCAAGGAAGGTCAGCAATAGAAAATGAGGTGTGATGATGCCGGAGAGCATGTGTCCCTGACTCTGAGTGGAGGACTGGGGACAATGAGACATAAGCTTGCAGAAAATTCTACAATAAACCTTGTGGCTGTCCTAAGCCATCCGTCAGTGGGGATCAGGAAGTAGGAGAGGTTATCCTACAAGAAGATTTACTCTTCAAAAGATCTGCAATTGTTTTTGTGTATTTTTTTTATCTATAGAGCTTGCTTTTTCTCTACAATGGAGTGTTATAGATAACCACTACTAATGATCACATATAACTGTTAAAACACTGGTGGCAGAATAGCCTGTAGACTGCCTCTCACCTATCTTAAATACTTTTACTGACTCAAGAGTAGTGTGATATTCCATGTAATAAAACAGGTTTGGAACATTATTTCCTTTGCTGTCCCTTATGTGATTTATTTTTTTCCCCTTCCCAAGTTTGCTTGAATATATATATATATATATTTTAATATTCAGACTCTGAAATATGTAATTACAATCAAGTGCTTGTCATAGCTGAAAGATTTCTGGTGGCTTAAAGCTTACTAGCACTTTACTCAATGATATTGTGCAGTTACTTGTACAGAAAGGCACCATTGTGCTAGAGAAAATTACAGAACTTGGTAGAAGAAGTCCTTACATGTAATCACTCTGGTTGCATTCTGCTATGATACAGATGTTGATTTCAGTTTTCTTTAGCATCAACATTATAAAACAGCACTTCTGTATGTAGCTCATGAAAAAAAAAAAAGGTCCTGAATCTTTTAATCTTAGCCTTGTTCCAAATCCTGTCTTCCACTTTGTTCTGCAACTCCTGACCACTCTTAAACAGCTCACAAATCTTTAAAGGAACTGGAATAGGCTGTTATTTTATCAAGGTTTACAAATTAAGTGCTTGATTTTTAATGTATCCTCTGTTTTGATTTTCAGATTTTATTAATATTTGAAGATGTGCCTTTTATTGGGTAATGTTAAGTCATGAATGTAGTAATGTTATTTCACTATTGTAATAATGTTACATGATCATGGATGCAGCATTCTCAAACACGATGTGAAGGGAAAGTAGTTTTCATAAAACTCAATAGAGCTCTGATTGCACAGTCCTACTTGCTTTAGATGTTGCTATATTAAAGCAGGGGGCACTTTTTCTTTAAAAGCTACTTTCAGAACTTGTCTTTGTATTTTCTCTAAACTACAAATGCAATTATGTCCATTTGGAGGCCAGGGTACCACATGTCACAGGCAGCCTTACATGTGTGCCGTGAGAAGGTTCAAACACTGTTATCAAGAAAGTCTATGGGAACTCCAAATTTCATTTTTTAAATGTAATCCCCAAGATCTTCTCCAAGAAATAAATTACTGTTTTGTATTTTATAATTTAAAAGCAGCTATTAGTACATTTCTGAGGTATAACAGGAGACCAAAACATGTTTGGAAAGAGAATAAATATATAGAGAGAGACTGGTTGTTTTATTTTCAATGTGCTGAATATATTAGACTACTATTTATTTTGTGAGTGGATGTGATGACATAAATATTCAGGTGTTAGTGTATGATTAAGAGTGGGATATAGATTTCTTTGAAGTTATTAAATCCATGTCTTTTACATAATGGACAAATCAAGTTTAAAGAAACGTTTACCCAGCATAGCTTGTTTTCTGGTGCTGTTGACCTGCAAGAGAATCTACTTTTGCATTTACAGATAAAAGTTTTGCAATTATGTATAAAAGAAATTGTAGGCATTAAAAATATTTTATTGATATTTTCACTGGTTTGCATTTATTTAACAAAACTCATATTCCTTATTTCATCACCCCGAATATTATTCCAGCTAGAAACCCCAGCAGACTCATCAGACTTAGAGAAGGGTTTACCTCCTTACACACACACCCCCCACACACACCTCTGTTCCTTCTCCCTTACACATTCTTGTCTGCTCAGCCCCTGCCACTGACACCTCTTCCCTCTCGCCCCACCAGCTTAGAGAACTATTCTGGTATCACACATACAAGTTTGGAGATACAGTCAGGGAACAAGGGAAGAAGAACCGGGTATATAGCACTTCTTTTCAAGAAATTGAGCAGTTCCGATCCCCTATAATAAAAAGAGCCTGAGATAGCTGGGAGGATGAGTCCTTAGGAATATATGAGGCAAGTGGGTGCAGCCATGCAGCCAAAGAATGTATGCACTCAGTGTAATGTATTGACTAGGTCATACAAGTATAAAATATACTAGTATCCTATTTCTGCATATAAATTTTGAATTCACTTGTTCTGTTAAAAAGGGTAAGCCGTGCAGTGTGTAGAGGCACTTAAAAATACTTTAGCAAGCATATACTATAGTCATTAACAAAATGCTGTCTGTATAACCAAAAGGTACTTTGTTGGAAACGGTGCACTTTTGAACAACGAAACTGTTAGTCATACCCAAACAACCATAGAATGGGAGCAGTTCCATGTAATTTAAAAGTATTTGCTCCTTTTAGATTTTCTTTCTCTTTAAGGGTCAGAAAGCTCAAACCACTTTTAGAGGGCTTATTACGAATATCCTAGGGCTCAGACACCCAGATTAATAGCATGCGTCTTATATACAAGAATGGGAACCTCTTCTGGGTCTCATGAACTCAAAACTGCATCCAGTCGAGGGCTGGGCAGTTAGCTTTTGTTTCTACCCATGCTGCCGGGCTCAGTAGCGGTCACTGCTAAAAGCAAAGGCAACTGCTGGGCTATTCAGGTGAGGAAGACATTTGAACCAAGGTGGTCAAGATCTTGGAAAACCCAGTCTCTCTTGCTCAGCTCTTTTCCTTGGCATGTAAGAGCATGCCAAGGAGAGGGCCTGGATCTTAATCTCTGCTACACAGAACTGTGTGGGTTGGTAAAGTACTTAAGCCTCCCAACTTCATTTTTGCCACTTTGTAAAAAGTGGCTAAGAAGGTTACTATAAGGATTAAAATACCAACTTGTATCTAGCACCCAATGTTAAAATCCCCTTTCCCCATATGGTGTAAACTTTGGGTTCTTAATGATAGCTGTGCCAAGGCCACAGACAAATAGCCCCACCCAGAGTACAGGCTTAAAGTTGCTGCAGTCTCTTAACTTTTTTTCACCTCTGCCTGGACCCTAGTCCTTGGACCCAGGAGAAAGGTACTATGTGGGAAACAGATCTAAAGAGCTCTACAGAATTTCCTCAAGGGTACTGAATTACTAAGGATCTCAGTCTTAATGCCAGTCTTATGGATTATTAAACAGGGGACCCAATCCCTCCCATTCCCCCCAACTACCTCCCCACCCTCCATCTCCCTGTTTTGAGCTAACAATACCAAGTCTTCATTCATCTGTAAAAGTGTGGTAACTTGTTACATAAAATGTGACAAAATAATGTGCAATTACTTTATATGGGACACCATCAGGAACTGTACAGCTGGGTGGGAAAGCTTCAGAGCTGCATCACTTCACCAGGATCATCTTTGCTTATTTCCACTGGGGTCTAGGGGGAGAAAAGGAGGTCAGGTGGGTCTTGACTAGTGTTGGCTAGGGTGTGGGGCTGAGGGAACTGCCCTCCTTCCCAAGGGCAGGCAGGACTAGCTGTGTCCCATTCTGTCTCACCTAATGCCTCCAAGCCCAGCTGCCACTGGGACTTAGCAGTGTGGGAGCAGACAAGTGGTAGAGAAAACACAAATATCCAAGGTCTAAGAAGAGAGGAAAGACATCTGCCAACAGGACAGTTTTACAACCCAGTGTTTATGTGATGAGGGACAGTTAAGCCTGGGTTGCTGATGTGGGCTAATTTAAGAAGGGAAATTGAAGGCACAGCATATGAAGTGTCCCATAAGTATGAAAAGAGGTCATGCCTGTCAGACAGCTTTGATGCTGGGCCTGAAATATCTTTACCTCTGTATCTCCAGTTTTTTGTTTTTGGAAAGACACTAAAGAACTTAAGAGTAAAGACTCAGGAAAAGATGTATAAAAGATCATATGAAAGACACAGGGAACTCTCTCAACTCTAAACAGATAACTGAATAACAATAGAAGTAGGTATGCTACAGTAACTTTTTAAAATAAAGAGAGTGTCTCTAAAGCTGGATTTTTGTGCTTGGTTCATGTATCCCAGGGAACACATTTTCAAAGTAGGAATAGAGAACAAAACTCAAGGCACACTTACCCCTCCTGGGGGATATCTGTAGCCCTTCCACATTGTTCCTGCAATGAGAAGCATCCATAAGACAACAATCATTGCAGGGCTTCTTAGCTGGTGGTGTGTGCAGAGCGCAACAGGTGGTTCTGAAAGGTGTGGTGTTCTATTCCGAGCCCTGGAAACTGGGCTGTCTTCATGCAAGACCAGATAGTGGATGGTCCAGCATGGTAGCTCCTGGCTGGGGAGCTTCGTGGTCTAGTTTGACGTGAAGTGGCTCACCATGGCTATCTGGTAGGCAGAGCTCAGACACCAATTGTGACATCAACTCTTGTGACCTTGAGGACCAGTCAGAGTGAGAAGGTGTGGGACAGCTGGCCAGGGTGTCAGGTGTGTAGGGGCTAAAGAACTCTGAGTAGGAGGGCCCTGTTCTTTGGTGACTGTGTGGTTAGGATCTAGCTGGCATCTTATCAACTCATCACCTGCCAAAAGTTTGGCTACCTGTTTTATGCAATCAGATGCACAAGGCATTGCTGTGAACAAAACACACACTATGGATTAATGGGGAGAAGTGACTAGCTATGTACACTATAAGCAAATACTTAAATAATTTGAATAGACTTCCCTGGTGGCTCAAGTGGTAAAGCGTCTGCCTACAATGCAGGAGACCTGGGTTCAATTCCTGGGTTGGGAAGATCTCCTGGAGAAGGGAATGGCAACTCACTCCTGTATTCTTGCCCCCCCCCCAAAAAAAAATAAATAACTTGAATAACTGTTAGGCTACTCAAAGAAGAAAAGTCTTGCATTTCGAGAAATGGTACAGTTAAACCCTCATCATGCAGGGAAAGCCTCCTCTTGACTTTCCTGAGAAGGGAAGAGGAGGAAGATGGGCCATTCTTCTCATTTCATAGCTGGAGAAACTGAGGCACCCACAATGTCAGTGGTTTGGTCAGGATCGCACTGTGGCAGCGGTTCAAGCTAAATAGGTGCCCAGTGATTCCACCTGCAATCCCACCCCGCACAGGTCTGACTGTTGGGCTGATACTTTCATAAAAATTCTGGAGCATAGGCGAAAAACAAGAACCCCATCATGGCCTGCTCCTAGGATACCTAGGGCTGGGACTTGCCTGACACCCTTCTGGAGCCCTGGATACCCTTCTTGAAGCCTTCTGGAGAAGCTTCTCAGAAAACCTGCTCCTGTAATTGCATATTATAATATTAAGACTCTTAAGTTTCTTTAACAATAGGAACATCTTTGAAAAAACCAGTCTGAATGAAATGGGGGTGGGATTCAAGAAACCCAGGAGATGGTTTGCTAAAAGGACACTGTTACTAATGTTTCCTATAGACAGGCTGGTCAAGTGGAATGTATGAGAGAGGTATTAAGTCCAGAGATCTATGTTTCAGCTTCACAAATGGGTTGGTTTTTGTGGCCCTAGGTAAGTAGGTAAGGTCATAGTCACCAGTAAGTCTGTTGACTAGTTCATTATTTGGCCTAGTTGTTAAGTTAGCATTTACTACTTAAAGTTAGCATTTGCTAACTTGTCAAGTTTTGCATTAAATGCTTCACATGAATTTCCAAGTGTAATTCTCACAAAAACAGAAAGAGACTGGAATATCTCCATCCTATGGATGAAGAAACTGAGGTTCAGAGAGATTAAACTTTCCTAAGGTCATACAGCCAGGAAGTTGCAAAGTTAGAACCTGAACTCAAATTTACATTAACTCAAGTTTCAGAATCTGCCAAAAGGGGCATTTAAAAATGCTGGTCTACAATCAAAAGATGGGCCAAAGAACTAAACAGACATTTCTCCAAAGAAGATATATAGATGGCTAACAAACATATGAAAAGATGCTCAACATCACTCATTATCAGAGAAATGCAAATCAAAACCACAATGAGGTACCATTACACGGCAGTCAGGATGGCTGCTATCCAAAAGTCTACAAGCAATAAATGCTGGAGAGGGTGTGGAGAAAAGGGAACCCTCTTACACTGTTGGTGGGAATGCAAATTAGTACAGCCACTATGGAAAACAGTGTGGAGATTTCTTAAAAAGCTGGAAATAGAACTGCCATATGACCCAGCAATCCCACTTCTGGGCATACACACCGAGGAAACCAGATCTGAAAGAGACACGTGCACCCCAATGTTCATCGCAGCACTGTTTATAATAGCCAGGACATGGAAGCAACCTAGATGCCCATCAGCAGACGAATGGATAAGGAAGCTGTGGTACATATACACCATGGAATATTACTCAGCCATTAAAAAGAATTCATTTGAATCAGTTCTAATGAGATGGATGAAACTGGAGCCCATTATACAGAGTGAAGTAAGCCAGAAAGATAAAGACCATTACAGTATACTAACACATATATATGGAATTTAGAAAGATGGTAACGATAACCCTATATGCAAAACAGAAAAAGAGACACAGATGTACAGAACAGACTTTTGGACTCTGTGGGAGAAGGCGAGGGTGGGATGTTTCGAGAGAACAGCATCGAAACATGTATATTATCTAGGGTGAAACAGATCACCAGTCCAGGTTGGGTGCATGAGACAAGTGCTCAGGCCTGGTGCACTGGGAAGACCCAGAGGGATCAGGTGGAGAGGGAGGTGGGAGGGGGAATCGGGATGGGGAATACATGTGAAGCCATGGCTAATTCATGTCAATGTATGACAAAATCCACTACAATGCTGTAAAGTAATTAGCCTCCAACTAATAAAAATAAATGAAAAAAAATGCTGGTCTAATTTATTATAGAGTCTGCATGGAAAAAATAATAGGTGGAACAGTCATTGAAAAGAATACCCAGGAGGTATAGTTATTAACAAATCTTTGAACAAGGGCTTGCTGTCCTCAGCAGTGCTCCTCAAATTCTTTCCCATTTCACAGTTCATTTTATTTTCCAGAGGAAAGTAAACTTTCCATTGACATTTCCGAGTGCCATCAAGTTGTCTTGAAAGGGAGGAATCCAGCTCAAGAGACCGTCACAGTCACTCACAGTTGCAGATCTTCATTCAAAGTCTGGCTCCTCAGGTGTGTCTTGCTCTCCTGAACAACCCATCTCTCTTTCCACTTCAGAGTTGGAGGCTGAGGCAAAAAGAAACTTAAAGGCAGAGTTGGCCCTATTCCTTGTCCCAGTAGGTAACTGCCCCTGTATGTGACTGGAAGGGCTGCTGAAACGTCCACCAATACCCACATTCCCTTTCCTCCCAGCAATCACTGATTCACTTGGCCTGAAATCCAGAAGTCAGGCAATGCCTCTAGCAGAGCCCTTACAGACTCCATCATGCTTTGAAATAAGTGGTATTAAGTAACCAAGGGGAGGGGTAAAGGCTTAAAGATGTCCCAGTGGGATGGGAAGTAGCCTGGGAAACTAACTTTGTTCCCACCACATCCTGACCTCTTATTAGTGGTGAGACCTCAACCATCTTTCCTGTTTTGTCAGAAATCCCAGCTGACAAATCTGGGAGGGTGAGCCAGAGCCAAGACTGACTATGAAGAATTAACAGGCAAGGTCATTACTTACCACGAACTCTGGAAATGTGCCCAAGTAACATGCAAATCCAACAAAAAGCATCCAGCCAAGCACGATCATGATAACAAGTAAAACAATTTCTAAGACACGATTGCACAGTCAAAGACTATTCACCAAGATCTTGACAAAGGAGTGTGCTCATGAAACCCTCAGTTGGTAGAGGTCTCTCATGTCAGTTCCAGTCCTTAGCTCCAAAGCATCCACAACTCTCTAGTGGAGAAGTTGGAGTCTAGTAGGGCATTGTGACATCATGATGACATGGGCCGGACCATAGAAGGTCAGAGAGACTGCCCCCAGATAAGCAGTGAGTGGCAATGTAAGCTCTCTGAATGCATTATCTCACAGCAACAATATGAGGTAGGTACTATTACTTACCCCACTTTACCAATGAGAAAATGGAGGCTTACAAAGCCTAGTCAGTTCAGTCAGTCGTGTCCGACTCTTTGTGACCCCATGGACTGCAGCACTCCAGGCTTCCCTGTCCATCAGCAACTCCTGAAGCCTGCTCAAATTCATGTCCATCAAGTCGGTGATGCCATCCAACCATCTCATCCTCTGTCGTCCCCTTCTCCTCCTGCCTTCAATCTTTCCCAGCATCAGGGTCTTTTCCAATGAGTTGGCTCTTCGCATCAGGTGGCCAAAGTATTGGAGCTTCAGCTTCAGAATCAGTATTTCCAATAAATATTCAGGACTGATTTCCTTTAGGATGGACTGGTTTGATCTCCTTGCAGTCCAAGGGACTCTCACGAGTCTTTTCCAACATCACAGTTCAGAAGCATCAATTCTTCAGCACTCAGCTTTCTGTATGGTCCCAAGTGATCTGCATTAGGTCACATAGGTGATGCTCCAGATCAGGGCCCAGTTTCCTGTTAGGAAGTTGAGCTCTTTAGACTAAGACAGGGGTTGGGAAAGGTGCGTTCCTAGGTCTATGACAACTGTGAATGAAACATAACTGAATTCTAGGGAAGTGAGAAGTATTTACTTCTGTCCCTGCAACCCTTTCCCTGCCACCTCCCCTCATCATCATTTTATAGCATTCTTTAACACTTTTGGTCAGTTCCTGTCCACTGGTTCTCTTTTCTTGGCCTTCAAGAAGCTACAAGCATTCTTTTCCTCTTCTCACAAAAAACTCCAGTTAATGCTGTGGCTCCCTTAACTGTCTTGTTAAATTGCCTTGTATGACCAAACTTACTTAACAAGTGGTTCATAAAGCCTTTCTTTCCGGTTCATGCTTTGCTTCCACACTTCACACCCTGACTTCTGCCCCAACCCCACTAATCAGATGCTCTCTCAGAGGTTACCAAAGATCTCCTTTTCTGTCAACTTTAATGACCACCCCTGCACTGACATGGTGGGTTCCTCCCCCACCAGAGTTCTTCCTACATGCACATCGCCCTATTAGTTTGATATCCTCTCCCTTATTTTCATCATGAAAATAACGGGTGTTCATTGTAAAAGATGAAATCATCCAAAGATGTGTAAAGAAAACTGTAATATTCTTCCTCTTCTTAGCCCCATGATGTAACAAGTGTTACAGTTTAGTGTGTATTCTTCTGCCAAAGACTATCCAGGAGCTTGTGAACATCACTAGACACAAAGAGGGATATACATATAGAGCTATACAGGGATAAATAGCGATACATATAGAGGGGTTTTTAGTGTTGTTTCATTAAAGGTGATCATACCACATATGCTACTATATATTGGGTTGTCCAAAAAGTTTGTTCAGGTTTTTTTCTCTAAATTGTTACTGGAAAATCTGAACGAACTTTTTGCCAACTCATAACTGGCTTTTCTCCTATAACAATACATCTTGGGTCAATTGAGAAAAAAAAAATCTAAACACATTCCTTTATCCATTTCTAACAAGAAGCTTTATTGATGTATAAATTACATAGGATAAAACACATTCATTTTCAGTGTATAACTGATACAATTTTAAAAATGTATTAATCTTGTAACTACCACCACAATTAGGACAGAGAAAATTGTGATCATCTCAAAAAACTCCCCATACCCTTCTGAAGTCAATCCCGTCTTCCTAAATCCCTTGATCCCTGACAACCACTGAACTTCATGTAAATGGAATCATAACCTTCTTCCACTGGCTTCTCCACTAGCTTCTCTCACTTAGCATTAATGCTTTTGAGATTCATTCATATTATACAATAGTCAGTTCTTTCTCACTGAATATTATTTCATTGTATGGTTGTATCAGTTTGTCAATTTCCCTGTCAAATAGCACTGGGGTTGTTTTCAGTTTTGCGCTGTTTTGAATAGAGATGTTATAAATACTTGCATATAATTTTTAAAGAGAACATGTTTTAATTTTTCTAGGGTAAATCCCAGGAGGAGGATTGCAGGATCATAGGGAAAGTGCCTATTTAAAAATTTCTCTATCACTAATTTTCAGCAATTTGACTTTGCTTTGTGTAAATTTCTGCATGTTTTTTCTATCTGGGGTTTGGCGAACTTCTTGGATTCAGTAGGTTTATGGTTTTCATAAAATTGGAGACATGTTTGGCTACTGTTTCCTCAAACATTTCTTCTGTCTCCCCAGTTCCTCTTCTGTGACCCCCATTACACGTGGATTTTGTCCCACCACTTGCTGGCACCCTGTTCATTTTTCTTCTCTTTGTGTTCTTTGGATATTTTCTATTGCAGTCTTTTTCACATTCAATCATCTTTCCTGCTAATCTTTTAGGCTTCTGTTAATCCCATACAATACATTTTAAATTTGATGCTGTATTTTTCATCTCTTAGAAGTTCAGTTTCTTTTTTTTTAATGCTATCTTTCAGTTTTCTCCATATCATGTTCATGTTTTCCTTTACATCATGGAGCATATTTATGAGATTGATAATAAACATTTTAAGGGCCCATTTCTGTTACTTCTGGGGCTGTTTCGGTGGTTGTTTTTTCTTTTTGTTGTGAATGATATTTTCCTGCTTCTTTGAATGTCTGGCAACTTTGGTTAGATGTTCAACATCGGGAATTTTACACTTGAGTGCAGGAATTTTTTGTATTCTGTTCAGTAGTGTTGGGTTTTCTTCTGGGATTCAGTTATGCTCTCTAAGTCAGCCTGGTTCTCTGAGGTGTGTTTTAAGCTCTGTGATGGTGGATCAAGAGCAGTCTTTACTCTAAGAATAATCACCACTATTACTGAACTATGGCCCTTCTGAACACTCTCCCTGATGCCTATGGTGTTAGGTCTCCCATTCTGTGGAATTTTCCATATCCCCAGCCCCTTTGGGAGCTCCCAGAAGTGTTCAGCCTACTGTTTCTGGGTGGTTCTTGTTCCCAGCCTCATGGAATCTTTACCCTACATATACACAGATAGAACTCAGCCAAAGACTCACAGGGGTCCCTGTGGAGATCTCCAGAGTGCTTCCTCTGTGGAATCGCCTCTTTGCAGGACTCCATCCTGCAAGTTCCTGGCACGCTGGTTTCCTTGGCACACCACTATCTTTCTTTTTGACTGGGCTTGGTTCAGGTAACCCATATCTGTGCTGCAGGCTGAAAGCTGCCTCGAGGCAGTAGGCTGGGGCAACTGGAAGGCTCAACTCTCTTGTTTCCTGTCTTTCAAAATTCACAGACTGGTTGCTGGCCCTTGTGCAAGACCTGAAAATAATTATTTCATATATTTTGTGCAATTTTCTATTTGTTTATGGAGAGAAGGCAACTCCTGTAGAGGTTGATCATTCATAGACAGAAGCAGAAGCCTAACTTATTTTTCATTCCTATATAGTATTCCACATGTATGTCCACCTCCTCCCTCTCTTGCTCTTTCTTTTTTCTTTGTCTGTGCTGTGCAGCTTCCCCAACCAGGGATGAAATGTGGGCCCCAACAGTGAAGATGCCACTCCTAACCACTGCGCTGCCACGGAGTTCCCTCCTCTTTATCCCAATAATAGATATATCAGGCAAGATCGAGTCAGGAGATAGAAACCACAATAATTTGGACAGAGGAAGTTCAACAAAAAGAATTAGTAACTAGGAACAGGAAATTGATGGAAGAGGTTGAAAGCTGTACATATCATAGGACTAGCATATACAGACAGCAGTCACCACCACTAGAACTGAGGCAAAGTATCCAAGGTAGGAATCAACTAGAAAGAGTGCCTTCCCCTCCAGGGCAGAGATCTAAAGCTCGTTGGAGAAGTGATGGTCAGGACCAGCTGGACGGTAGGGGAAATCCAATGAGCTTCTGTAGGCTGGAGCTGGTACGTAAGGGAACCACGGACTGAGATGCTGGTGGAGTCTGCTGGAAGTCTCTGGTGGCGGGAGGCGGTGGGGGAATGGTTTGTCAGGTTTACTGATCTTCACCGAGAATCCACCTTCCTGGGATATGCCAGTAGAATGGACTAGAAAGCCATCTCATTGCAGGGGGAGGGGGGCGGGTAGAACTGATTGACGACCAGGGATGCCACCGAAATTCAATGAGGAGGAGTTTACAGGGGGCCACTGAAGCTGCATAGAGTGAGCACCACCACCCACTTGTACCACTGGCAGTCACACAGTAGGGCCTTTAAAAAAGTGCCCTGGAGGGAGGAAGTCTCTTCCTCCTTAATATCACCCTAGGCCCTCTACTGACAGCACTTGATATCAAGCCCACTAGCAAAGGAAAAGTGCTTTTTTAAGTTCCACTATAGCAGGGCAAGCAATGAATGGTGGACTTGGAACTGAAAGGTAATAAGCAAGCAACAGGCAAAATGTGCATTTAGTCTTCTTTTCTCCCTCAACTTTTTACCACCATAAACATTGCTGTGATTGTGAAACACAAACTTTCTTGGACAAATTTCTCCTGAGTATTGTGTTTCTTACTTCACCGGAGAAGGCAAAGTGACTCTCAGAAAGTTATGCTGGTTCAGACAGGGCATGAGAGGTTATATACAATCCTTATAAAAAAAGAACCTGTTTAAAAAAGAGAGATTACAGTTTCATTTCACAAGGTCAAAGGACATTTGTGGCAGGACTCCCTGAGATGCAGCATATGCTGTCAGTGAACAACAATACAATCTTCACACATCTAAGAAGTAAATGATACTGTCCTCTGGTGAACAAAATATCTAAATTTTTATGAGGTCCAATTTGTCTATTTTTTTCTTTTGTTGCCTATGTCTTTCATGTCATATCCAAGAAATCACTGCCAAATCTAACCTTAGGAAGTTTTTTTTCTATATTTTCTCCTAAGAGTTTTATTGTTTTAGGTCTTAAGATTTAGGTCTT